ACAGCTTGTAACACTCCAAAGAGAAAGGAAAACTTGAAATCGCATCATACGACCCCTTTAACATGAAAGCCTCCATTCTAAAACAGACATCTTTGCTCTTTCGATAACGTGTTTTAGCTGAAACTTCTCTCTGTTCAGCTGATCATTCCTCTGGAATCCTCTATTCTGGATCACCCAGACCGTCCACAGTCATTGAGCATCAGTCTTCCTCAGATCGTCCTCAGCAACACGCGCCACGCTCCTCATGGTTCCCATTCGGACCTCAACAGCACCTACAGCAGCTTCTCTGCCCACCCTTTCTTCCATCCCATGGTGTGCCAACCTTTCCCTCGCGATCAGAGCGTCCTCCATCCCCTGCCGTCTGCATTCCTCCAACACTGTCTGGAAAACGAGTCCCTGTCATTAGCGCACAAACGCCCCTCTCGCTCTCAGGACGTCTGGTCTGTCAGTTTGTCCCGAGTGGCTCTTGACTTTGAAGGGGCTCGTCGAGGGCCCAGAGGGAAAGCTCTTCCCTTTGTGGAGCCCTTTGCCATGTCTTTGTGGATGTGCTGCCCTTCTGCCTTCAAAAAAGACTCTCATTGTTCGAGTATAGATGGCAATTCGAAAATACCCACCGGTTCTAGCAAACAATCCCTCCTAGATTCACCACAGGGTGTAAATGACGTCATATCTAATAAAGTTGACCAAACCAAGGGTCTAGTCAACTCTACCATGGCCTCCATCCATATCTTAGCCCAGTCCATCACTCCTGTCAAAATGTGGCTCAACCACTACCAGTTCGTAGCCCTTTTGCGGATGAAGGACTATCTTGCCCGACTAGCTGGAGATTTGACCAAGGACGTCCAGGGTTTGGGACAACCTGAACACAAACCGTCAGATCCCCCTTCGGTTTGTGTCTCAGTCCTGATGGAAGCGATAGAACTTGCTCTACTTCTTCCTCCTGCAACATGCGAGCCAGAAGAAGAAGCCCGTTCTCCTGAGGAAACGGACAGTCCCAGCTTGACCGACTCTGACCTCTCGCCATCCCACCACGCCGGTGAGCCTGGCCTGCTGGAGGACAGTGGGACAGGAGGGAATGAGGATCAAGAGGGTTCGGTAGAGGAGGCTTGCGAAGCTGTTGAAGAAGGAATGGATGAAACTCGGGCCTTTGTTACTTCCACGTCTCCTCCACTCTCTCCAGGGAATCCTGCATTACTGTCCCGTCATAGCTCCACTTTCAGCTTGGAGGGGGAGCTGTCCAATGCCCTGAATGCCACCAAATGTGTCACCAAAGATGCACTCAGCGTCTCCCTGGATCTCACCAAGGGTGCGCTGTCCATCACGAAAGATGCCTTCAGCATCCTGAGCCGAGGATCTGGCATGACTAAACTCTTCACTCCTCAAAACAAGTAAGACCTTTAGGCCATCTGCGTTGTTTTGGTCTTGATTTTAGGATTGCATTGATATGGAAAATCTGGTATTTCTTATAGTGGCTGAAACGGATAATTTTACTGTTCACATTTTATCTCTTTCAGCTGCTAATTAAAAAAAAACTATTCTATCACTTGGCTATTGTTGACTCCATCCTAGAAATTATCGCCTGATCAGAGCCGGTTAATTTGTGGTGTTAAAGGGATAGTTCACCCAAAAATGAGTCATTATTTACTCACCTTTGTGTCGTTCCAACTCAATGACTTTCCATGGAACACAAAAGGAGCTGTTATGCAGCCGCAGTCACCATGTTTTTTTCTCATGCAGTGAAAGTACATGAGTGTCATTCTGCCTAACATCTGCTTTTGCGTCACATGGAAAAAAAGTATTTTTAAGTGATCTCTTTAACTAGAGCTCGTGTTTATAATCATCAAATCTGTTCCTCAAGATATTATAGAAGAGTACCTTACGGAGAAAACGATCAAAGAACTGACCGTAACACTCCCTGGTCCTCCTCCTCCACCTGTGGACCAGGACATCCAGCCAGTTGATCCACCGTCTAGAGGCAGGGGAAGCACACCCGGGG